CCCCCCCCCCCCCCCCCCCCCCCCCCAGCCCTAGACCTCCAATAATATCAATTGTGATTATAGATCGGACTTTTTACACCGTTGACTTAATTCAAAATGGGCAGTCATTCCAAATTCACTGTAGACTTAGGTCTAATACCATGGTTCCCAACCAAAGGGTTGCATCCCATTCCTGGGTCAAATTGTGTGTTTGATTTAAATTGCCTGGGGCCCAGGGGATAAAATATGCATTTTTTTAATACCTTGTTTTTTCTACTTATTTTTTTCCATTAACCAAAAATTTTTCATGAGTAATGGAGACTTATACATGCAAAATATAGGTTGCATTGCCTGAAAGGTTAGAAACTGTTCCAACATTAAGCCTTGTGTGAAAATTTCATTGGAAAATAAGCTTAGATCTATCCTGAAACTATCACTGAAGCACCTTGGTTCATCTTAGGAGTGCAGAGGCTCTTATCCAGTTGTGAAATGCACATACTGCAGAACAGAATTCCAACAAGAAAGGTAAGATTCCCTATTTGTCTGTTTCTTGCTCTGATGCTAGACCTATCTTCAGGGCCCACTTATATCATAAAATATTTATTTTAAAAGGTGACCATTATTTATTTTTAAATTTATTTTCTTTAACCATATGTACCATCAAGTACCATCAATATCAATATTTATTAGGGGTTGTGCTAATTGCTCAAAACAAAACAAACAACCAAAGGGTTTTCCTATCCATCATTAAGTAGAAACTCTTAATGATGGATTGGAAGATCAAGCAATATTTCAAGGTCTGGAAAATTAAGCAAGGTTCTTCTGCTTCATCTCCTCCTATGAACTTGAAACTTTGTTCAATTTTCTTACATATCATGAAAAATTCCTGTTCCCCATTTAACTGATACATTTCTTCTAGTTGTTAATTTTGGAAAATTAGTGCAATACCCTGCCCTACTTTAAGTTGGAGAGTTAGATAGGTTTTCTCTGTGAATATTCATTTTATATTCTTGAAAATGAAGTATATATCATGATATACTGCTATGAGCTTGTGTGTGAAGCCAAAATTTCAATATCACTCAACTCCTTCATTCTTTTGCTTTTTTGTGATGAATATAGTATGCCTGTGTCTTTCTTGAAGTGTATGCCAATGAAGGGCTGTCCCCAGTGAGTCTGAATCAACTGGCTAGTTAAAATTGTTTATTATGAATCTGGCTACTCTCTTTTTACTTTCTCCTAATATAGCCCTATCTATGGTTTTAAGTGAATCCCACATTATGAGGAGCATCAACAGCTAGTAGGTTTGAATGGTTTTGGCATGGAGTAACATTCTCATCAAGAAGTAACAAAACCACTGTATAGATACATACATACATGCATGGATACATAATAAGTTTAAAAAGTTTTCTGGACTGGGTCTGGTTCACACCACTGATTACAGTTTAGAGCAATTTAGTTGAGGTTTCCGTCAAAGTAATGGCCCCTGGCTGGTCACACACTTTTGCCAGTGCCTGTATAGTCCTTTGAAATGGGTGAATCCATTTTTTGCACAAATGATTTTCTATGATGATTATGAATGGTACTAAAGTCAAGGAAATTTCAAACCTAGCATCTGATATTTTGCTCAATATGAAAGAGAGTTCGCATGTTTCACCCATGACTTGGGAACTCTCAAATCATTGCTTCACTTCATATCCTTTTCCAAATGAAGATATTTGATCTTCATGTTCTTTATTAAGGATGATTATATTGACTTGAAGAAGTGACAACTCAAGTTAGCTAACTGTGGAGCACCACGTTTGACTCCATAGGGTTAGCAGTCAGCTGTACTGAGAACTCCTGTATAGGGAAATGCCAGGAGGATATGTATTCTCAGAATAATGCTTTAGAATTTGAAGTTTCATACTTCTTTAGTAAAACATAGAGAGATGTCCTGCACATATCTTCATGATGAATCGTGCAATTATCTTGTGTTTTTGGGAGTGTGCAAGTTGATCACCATTTAGAAACCAATAATGCAGCTGGGTTTTTAAAGAAAATAAGTACAGGTGTTGGCTGATATGGAACCATGTCTGATTAATGGCCAAACGTTAGCCTTCCATCTTGTATGCTCCTGAGTTTTAATTCTTTTAGTGCTGTGTGGCCAGTTTTTCAGCCATGTGTACTACTGTTAAAAAGGAGAGGCCGATTTTTTGGCAGCAGCTTTTCATTAGGATTCTTTTTTCACATAGATGGGTTCTTGTTAGATGTCATAAAAATCGACCTAGGGGATTTTCAGCCATAGTACACATGGCCAAAAAATCAGCCGTAATAGGGGTTAAGCGTGAGTCATATGTGTACATGGCTTTTCTTATTCCTTAATTTTATCTGGCCAAGCCTTCTAATCACTCCTAAGCTATGTTGCTACATTTCATGGGGATGAAGTTCATGTTTGAGTGGGAGGATGTATATTTTGACAAAGAGTAAACTGCTCCCTGAGCATGCTCTGCACTTTAAGAGTCATGTGTTTACTAGTTGCATTCCAGGCACCTAGTATACATGTGACATGGACAATTATGCATTTCCAGTGCTTTGGTTACTCTTAGAAGAAGCTGCTGAATTCCAAAGGAGGAAATAAGAAAGCCTTACATGCGTAAACATTTGCAATCATCACACTCCTTGAATCTTGGCAAAGTTATAGCCCCTTAGCCAACATCCTTCATTTTGGAGGAGGTGGGTGGAGGATGGGAATGGGGGTAAGAATTGCATAGATGCAAGGAAATGTTTTTAATTACCCAGTTAAGAATTAAGAGCTTTCTAATTATGATCCTGAAATAGGTGAAGTGAGTGGAAGTAGCTCTAGGTAGATTATATGGGTTTGGACCCTACCATGGAGAAGGCTTATATTTAGGGTTGTGCCAATTATCGTAATATCATTTGATGAGTGTCTTATCGGCGATATGTCTGCATATTGCTATATGTAAATGTTGGAGAAAGAAAAATTTTTTTACTCTTCTATTGTCATGGGAGAGGAGAAACAGAGTACATGAACCATGCCATTAAAAATAATGGCATAGGACAATGTAAGGATTGATTGGCAGCCTCGACAAAAACCGATGAGATGAGAGAGGGAGTCAGTGGATAATCTGATGACTGCAATCCTCCCCGATCCTTTTCCTGGAAAATTTCCTGGAGGCAAAATGATGGAAATCAGCACTCAGATTCAGTCACCCCCCCAAGTATGATGAAACCACAGCAAATTTTTTTGGATGGAAAAGAACTGGAAACTCATACCTTGTGCTTGTAGAAAGTCGGCAATGCGGAATGCATTTAGAATTTATTCTCACAACAAATGCAATACCCATCCAAAGTAATAAAAAATAGCTGCCCTAAAAGGAAGAAAAATTCAGGTTTCTGAGAATACAACCAATCTCTCGCATCTTGTGTGCAATCGACCTCAATTTAATTGTGGCGATAATTGAGTCTTGCTGCTAAAAAGACCACTCCATCATTCTTTGCAACTTTGGGCAATATATAGGTCGGCAATATTGATACTTTAAAAATCCATATCGCCCAGCCCTACTTATATTAGCAGAAGAAAAAGGTCAATACACCAAGGGGAAAAGGAGAGTTAGAGGCAAAGGGAGCAAAAAAATATCTGAAGGACTATGAAGACTTACTATCACCAGGCATCAAGCAGAATTTTATCTCTCTTGAACAGGAGAGAATCAAGGGTATGGAAGGTACTGAAATAAGAAATGGGCTAGCAAAGGGAATACCTTCATCCCCTTTCACTCTTAATAAATTGATGATCACTGGATGGTAAGTGGAAACTGTTTTGTAAAGTGGATTGACTCATATAGAGGAAAATAAATCTGTTTCAGCAATGATAGGAGTACTTGTCCAGGTTGTTTTATTCATGAATTGCTATAGAATAGGGATGTCATGAGCTTGTGCTATAAGCTTAGTAATACTGTTTCAACCCTCAGATTGAGGTCTAAATCCGGGTGTCTTTTCTTGCAGCAAAAATAGCACAACATCTGTGTGCAAGAAGTGTGAGCAGAATGTCAAGACTCATGGACAACCTTCAGCATGTGTGTATTGCAACACAATTGCAGCCTTTGTGGGTGATAAGTGTGATCGTTGTATACATCATGAGCGAAAGTATGGACCTCCAAAGACTTGTGGCCAGTGCAAGCAAAGATGTGCCTTTGATCGTAGAGAATCTAACAAGGTAGTATCCTTGGCAGGGATAATCTTTTCTGTTTGTACAACCAAAGTTGGAGTTATTTGAAGTTGGTATATCATATTAATTATCAGTGTTTATTTTAGGTGGATGGGAAACTCTTGTGCTGGCTGTGCATGCTCTCGTATAAAAGAGCATTAGCCAAGACGAAGCAAACTGATCCAACAAGGCATTCACACGTGAGGTTGACTGGAAACCGGCCCCCAAATAAGGAAAAATTGTGCGTGACTCACCTGGCCACTGTTTTTGAACTTGCTTTTATGAAAATTGAGGGAGTTTTATGTTTGTCAGGTTGAAGGGGAAAAGGACAATACCAGAGAGAGAGGATGTGACGAAGCTCAACCTGTCTGACTCTCCAAAGCCTGCTAAGCTTGTTAGAACAAGCAAGAGTGCATTAGCAGCAGCTGAGTCAGATCCAGTCATCTCTGATCATCTTGTGGCCATTGCTCAGTTGAAGGAGGAGATAGCTGCCCTTAACAAGCAACTTGGCCTTAAGGATGCCCAGCTCAGAGAGAAAGATAAACAGGTGATGCAAAGTTGTTGTTTCTCTAGCACATGTATTGGATTGCTTTTGTTCTGATTACCTTTCTCCTTCTAGATCACAGAGTTGAAAGCATCCCAGTTGTCAGTGGAGCAGGAATTGAGACGGAAACTGCGAGAGCATGTGAAGGCCCATGAAGTTCGAGAAGATGAACTGGTATCCCGTGTGAAAATACTACAAAAGCAAGTGGCTTCTTTATCAAAGAACAAGAGCAAGGGATCCAATAGCAACAGTCCTTCCATCACTTGAGTTCACCACCTCCAATATCATAGGATAGGATCTTCCCTCAGAAAGTTGTAGTCAATTCCTGCTCCATTCCCTGTTTCACCGAAAAGTGTGACTAATGATGCTATTCTTCAGTAACTTTCTGGGAAATGTGCTGGTGTCACATTCATGTTTTTTTTATTTATAACATACCAGATCAGAGATTTTGTGGCAAGGAGGAAAGACTTGAACTTCATGCCAAAGCTTTTTTTAATTACATCATCAGTTGTTCCTAGCTTCTTGCACTAAGGTGAGAAGAAGACAGTTCTCTCTTTTTTTTTTTTTTTTTTACTCCCTTTTTGGAGGATAAATATAAATTGCAGGTGATATTGCCTTGGAACATCTTTGTAGCTATGTATGATGAAGGATTTCTCTTCCCATCAGGGATTTTCTGTGGTTTATACCCTTGGGCCTTTGCCTCCTGTTGAATACTCCCTTTCATTCATGATACAATAGGCTGACTTGAAGCCTTCCTCTTTTTATATGTTTTTAATTTTTGTTGTAGTGCACACACTCAACTGGAGTTGAGCACTGTTTTAAGATGTCTCACTTGTTATGTATGGTGTGGATTTTGACATTCAGGAATTTTTTAAAGGATTAAATCCTTCCCTACTCAAAATTTCTTGTCTATCATTGGCATGAAATACCAAACACCAGTGCTAGTTGAGGTGTTTCTCCTCCTTATGTTGACATTATCAAGAATCAAGACTGATGAGAACCTATCAGTTTTGCTTCCTCAGAATTGAAGAAGCTGTGATATCCTTTCAACACCAATGAAGGCTGTCATTTCCCTGAAGCATTTATCCAAAAATTTAATCTGCTGATTTCTTGGATGTGATATAAATGTTGGAGATATGAAGCAACCCTGTTAGAGTCTTTGGCACACCATGACAATACTTTGATTAGAAATAGACATCAAGTTGCTGCTATCATGCCATGAAACATGTCCAACCTCTAAGCTAGGCTATTAATAAGCAAGGCCCACTGAATTTTTTAAGCATAGCTTGATTGGGTGAGAAATTGTTCAGTATCATATCATTACTTGTCTGTCAAAAAGGTGAATATACAGTTTTGACATTTTTCATCAAGTGAAGAATTTGCCTGTTCTGATTTGAAGGATGTAAATTCAGATGTATTTACCTTTGCACCAAACTTTTCAGTCTGAACTCCTTGGTGCAGAGCTGAAATGTTTCTTAGATATTCATGTTCCTACATGACTGGGTTCTTGTGTTTATCATGGCATGGCAAGGCACAGCACATCCTCGTCCTTTTTTGGTCAAATGAAGCCAAGAAAGAATTTCACTTTTTATTCTTTAATGACATGTTTTCATGGTCTTATCCTTGAAATACAATTTTTTTCCCTTGGTATTGCTATTGCCTGGATTCTGTTAATTCTGTGACCAGTCTTACCCTAAACCTTTTTGCTTCCCCTGCTGCCTTTTTTAAAAAATGTTTTAATGAATTTTCTCTGCATTTTTTATTGCATTTTATAGTAGTACCAGTCACTTGAGTATGATACAACTTTTTTATTTCCCACTGAAGTTATTTTTAAAGCTACTTTTTTTATACCTGTCCCTAAAAATAAAGGAATCTGTACAATGTTCTTGCTTTTTTGTTTTCCTTCTCTTAAGGATTCAAGGTGTAACTTTTCAAACCTTTATTCACAAATTGTGATCACCTGAATGGCTTGTGTATTGCCAGCAGGAGTCTATATTACATTTAAAATTATATGAATTTTGCAAGATGATGAAAAAGCATGCTTTAATGAGGATATACCATATTGTATCATGCTGTACCATGCCATGCCATATTGCTTGGTGTGGCATGCCACAGACCATCATGTATTTAAATAAAAAATTTTGTCATGCCATACCTTGCCTTGAAACTCAATCTCAGACTTATCTCAAATGATTTCATATTCATCTTTTCTGCCATAAATGTTCAAAAAAAAGGTTAATTTTCTATGTTTCTGGTAAATATTCTCTAGAAAATGGTGAATGTGAATCATAGGATTGGAAGTTCTTATATTTTGACTCAAGTACCTGAAGAGGCTACTACTGAAACGACTCATGCTATTCCCTTCACTGCTCTCTCTCTCTCTCTCTCTCTCTCTTTGAATAATGATGTCATGGTCCTTTTCCTCTTGGTTGGCTGCAGTGATGATGTTTGTAATTCTTTTCTTCTTTTACAAGTAATTTATTGTATATAATACTGGTGTATGAAATAAAAATTAGTTCAGCCACATTGCATTTATTTCACGTGAGACAGGATTTTCACACAAAGAGGCATAAAACTATGTACTGAGGCACAACAGGAAAGAGTAAGACCAGTTTAATGTGAATGAAAATTGAATTATTAATTTAGTGACAATCACATGCAATAGATTAGAACTATTCAGGCCAGCGAAGGAAGGGATTCACAGATGTAGTGAAACTGAAGGAAGCAGGACTTCCCAAGCCAATGAAAGCGATCATCAGATGACATGACACCACAAGTCCATGCATCCCAATGCCTTTGGGTTTCCCCAAAATCTGGATTATAGATGAGATGTCCTGAGGAGCTCCACATCCACATCTTCTCATTCCAATTGTAGAAGGCATCAATCCACCGACTCAATGGTGCTTCATGAAGGAAAGCATAAGGAAAGTGTCATAACTGAAAGCAGAATGTATGATACAAAACCACATACCAAACTCAGGTCGGAGTAGATATTGCCTAAGGATATGATTTTCCCAGCGAGATGCAGGAGTGACAAGACTGGCATTGTTTTTCATGCACTGGAAATGGGCATCATTCCATGTAGCTATCTCTTGACTGAACAGGTAGCAGGAGTGACCTAGGTAGACGAAATCCTTGGGGCATCTGTGCCAAATTACTGGAACATCTCTGATCCTGCTCCTCTGTCTTATGCCTCCTGTATCTCAGCAAGAACCATTTCATGCACCTTTATTGATTATATCACTTTTCAACTTGAAGATTGGGTATAATGAATTGTACTACCTGAAAGGAGGTTTGGAAACTGGAGGATGAGAATGAAGATGACGAAACTGTAAGGAGAACACATAAGTACAGGTGCTGATCGACAATGCTCTGATCTTCTACACTTCATCTGGAAGATGTCTTCAAGGAGGAAGGAAAGAGGGAATGATTTGTTTCCTAGTTGTTCCTCCCTCTTTGCATGCATGCATGCATGTATGCATTTGCGTTCTCGGTTGGTTCTCTCCCCCTCCACCCTCAGCTGAAAAGACTGGCTCCCCTTGGAATGGAAATGTGCCAAATGACATTTCCATTTGCTCAACCGAGACCCAAAACTACAGTTTGGCAGTGTAAACCTATCAACATGAAATGGAACTTTGGCGGACATCATTAAGTCGTTTTATGAAATGAGGATATTCGTACCTGAATGGGTAATAATAGTGCTAGGGTGTTGACACCGCTCCCACCCAAACTGGTCGCTGGAAGTAGGTGGATACACCCTGTAGAAATTAGCTAAGTTCTTGGACATTTGAATCGTTTTTTATTCCATTCCCCAGGTCCGACAAGCTACCAAGGTTATCAGAAAAGCTGCAATCAGGCCCAATTATTTTTCTCATTCGTGACTGCTCATTGTACATAAGCTACGAACTTGTGTAAGGAGCATTTATGGGCGGATGGACAGTTATTTCATGAGCTCATAGCTCGTACAGTATGAGCTATCACATATGAGCAAAATTGTAACCTCTGATCGCGGCTCAAGTTCAGGCAATGTCGATTGGCTGCCCTGGCTTGCTTTTGTCTTTGGAATCGATCGTCACGCGATTACATCATGCAGGGTCGGACTGGCCCACACAGGGATACCGGGAAATTTCCCGGGGGGGGGGGGGCGTCGGACTGGTGACTCCTAAGTCGACCCTGACATCATGAGCTGGTAGGACAGGGCGTCTTTTACAGTGTTTTTCACTAGAGTCAGGCATTTTTTCACCTGACTTCGACTCGCAGGCATGAGGAATGTCCCATGCACGCACATCCGAGTCTAGTTAAAAATTGTCTGACGAGTGAAAAACTCTGTAGTGACACACGTGTAGGGTCTTCATGCCATTAGCCAAAACAAAATGACGTAACGGTATCCACTGGAAAGAAACACTTTATTGCACGAGAACATGGTATTGTCAAGTTTAAACTTTCAATCGTAACATCAAATCGCAAGAAGGAAAAGAGTTTGATTCCGCTATTCCAACTTTCCCCGCTCTGGCAAGGAGTTCATGATCTAGTGACACGAGTCGACTCACAGGACATCATTCCAGTTACATGTAGCAACTTATTTTAGTAAAGTGAGCCTGTCAAGGAAATGTCCTGCACATAAGCCGCTACTAAATTTTTTTAATAAAAACGGAAGGACGATAATTCAAATAAAAGGCGTGAATCATACAGGTTAATGAATTTCCAGTTGCACATCTGCGCAGTGATATTTGGGCTGAATCCCGAAATTAATTTAGTTCATCTTAAGCTTTTTCAGATATCGAATGTGCTTTCATCATTTAGCGTTCAAATTCCATTTCCACCATTTCATAATATTGTAACGGCCCAGCCGACACGACACCCAGTGAGTGGCCTAGCAGCTCTCTATGAGTCGCCCAGGAAGGCCACAGTGTGTGCGTGACCCCCTAGGTGTCACGCCTGACCTCTCACCCTGTACCCCAATCGAGAGATCTGTTTTAATAACCTTCTTTATGTCTTTGGTTCTCAGCCACCCCTCTTTTCATTTCCGTCTAATTTGTGAAGACTAGAGATAGAGTTATACTCCCATTGTAATACAGTAATTCGGCATCTGAGCGCCAAGGAATGATGGCATATACTACAAGACCGCACGCGCCTGAGGAGTGAGGTTCTCTCCTTTTTCAACCAGGAAGAGAGAGCAGAGAGCTGATTACAGCCCTTATCTTATATTCTTTTCGCTGATCGTCTACGGGCGATAAGCAGCAACTCCCTTTACCCTACGGGATTAGACACTCCCGTCGTCCTCATCCTTCTCGTCCCTGCGGGATTAGACATTCCTGCCGTCCTCATCCTTCTCGTCCCTGCGGGATTAGACATTCCTGCCGTCCTCATCCTTCTCGTTCCTGCGGGATTAGACATTCCTGCCGTCCTTATCCTTCCGGTCCCGATTCCCTGAACCTCCTCATTCCTCGTGAGTCGACGATCCCGATCCCTTCCGTCAGATTCCAGGATTTCTCATTGCTTGTTTTGCCGAGGACTGTTATTAATAAACCCTGCTTTGTATCAGTCCTGATCCACAGTGTTGTGATTCCCACCACCAGGGAGGGAGAACGCACGGAACCGTAACAGTTTTCTGGTGGCAGCGGTGGGATTCGCAACACAGATATCGCTCCATCCGAAGAGACTGGTGTCTCTGACCAGCAGTGTGAACCTTATTGGTTATCCTAGCTTCCCAAAAATCAGACTGGCCGAAACCGAGGTTACTGAGAGCCCTGAATTTATCGCGTGCTTGAGGCAGCAGATTCGGGAGCAAACAAGGAGATCCCCGAGACTGATCGCCTCCCAAAAGCGTCGGCCCAGTAAGCGCAAGTGTAAGGGCCCAGTCGTACTGCCTCACCAGCCCACTGACGCATCCCAAGAATCGATTGATCCCTCTCCCGCATCTCCAGAGAAGGACAGTTCGATCATGGCCGAAGAAACTCGAACGCAGGAAACACGTCCAGGCACCCTCACCTACTCAGACCGCTATGTGGCCGTCCCGGAAGCTTATGATGGGTCCACGGACTTCAATATCTGGTTAAGACAGTATAACGCATGCGCCACGGCCAATAGGTGGGACGAGTTAAAGAAATTACAAATCCTCCCCACCAGGCTGCGAGGGAAGGCCTTCTTTGCCTTTTCATCTCTCCCCGATGCGGATAACATGAGTTTCGACGAGGTCATCAACGCCCTGAAGACCACCATTCAACCCCCAGAGCTGCAAGGCGTCTTACGCCTGGAATTTCGAAATCGCAGAAAAATGGCTAATGAGGCGCTGGATGATTTTTTCCAAGAGCTGTGCATCTTGGCCCGACAGGCCTACCCAGGAATGCCCCGAGAGGCTCAGGATGAATTGATCAAGGACCAATTTTTACAAGGACTGCCCTTCCCTCTGCGCGATCGTGTGATGCAAGGCCGCCCGCAAACCGCATCCCAAGCATTGACGTACGCTCGGGAACAGAACGCGTGGATGGCCACAGCCCCAGCCCAACAGCCTGAATTCGCTGCCTTGCACCAGAAGATTGATGACTTGACGCTTCAATTTCAGCACCAACAATCCTCAATGAGGCGGACAGTAGCGCCCCTCCAACCTACCGGCGCTTGCTGGTTATGTAATCGCATGGGCCACAGGGCGCGAGATTGTCGAGCCCGGCCGCCAGAACCGCCGTATTACTCACCTCGGCAGGATTTTGGGCAACCAATGCTACGCCAGCGTTACCTACCCGACCCATATTCCGCCCAAAATGCCCCGGCAGAATGGCGACCAACCCCAAGGACGAATCCGGCTCCTCCATTGTACCCCGTTCAGCCGACGGAACCCCATTGGAAATATAGGCCGAATCAACAGAACTGGCAAAGCCAATCATATGGGATGGAAGCCGGACGAGAGCGGTGGCAACTCAGGGAACATGACGCTCCCTAATGGCACCCAGAAGGGGATAGGCATGCTGGATACCCTCAAGCAAGAAGGAACGAATATCCAACTACCCCGCCTGCCACATCTCCTCCCAGACCACGCAATAACTCGGAACAGGTGACACCCCTAAGGGGCCCAGTACAGGAATCGCCCAACGCTCAAGCAGGTGGCCCGATCTCGACAACCCAACCTTTAAACTGCTAAGGGCCGGTGAGTGTATGGACTGTGAGAAAGAACAAGATTCACCGGCCCCTCCTCTTTCAACCTCAACTCCCTCCGCTTTCCTTGTAGATGCTAGTGTTGATGAACACCCTGTTGTGATGTTAGTAGATACAGGGGCAGCTAACGTCCCAGGCAAGGCCAACAGGGCTGATGTCTTTTCTCGACTGCCTGTGGGTCATGCTGCGGATCGAGAATTATGCCCCGAGCGAGCCATCAATGTCATCCACCTCCCAGTAAGCGTGGGAACGGACTCCCAGCTCCTTCCATTATTATCCTCACCGGACCCACTCCCACCCCTATTTGCATCGATAGAACCATTCCGGGAACGCATCACCTACGATGAACGGCAGGCTTATTTCCACCTACCATCCGGCGAGAAGCGTATTGTTCTCACACCTGACCAGGCAACCTTCGTCATGCAGCAGATCCATGAGAACCCAGCAACCGCGGCCCATCTTGGAGTTAAACGGACTTTAGCCAAATTTCAGCAGCAATATTTCACTCCAAAGGCGCGACAGCATGCGGTCCGAGTATGCCGGGCATGTCCAATCTGTCAGCAAGTAAAAAGGGACTATCTGCCTCCTCGCCCTCAAATCCAGCCGATCCAAACCCAGCACCCATTGGACCTAGTTACCTTGGATATCGCGGGACCATACCCCCTCACAAACAAAGGGAATCGCTACATCCTGGTCTGCATGGACCACTTCTCCAAATATGTGACACTCCACGCTTTGCAGACCCAGCAGGCTGAAACGGTAGCAGAGGCCCTCGTTACGGAATTTATTCCACATATGGGTTTACCGTGGGCTATTCTCACCGATCAAGGACGGAATTTTGAGTCCGGACTCTGGATTGCGCTCTGCTCGCAACTGA